AACTATTGCACGAAAAGCTATGAAAATATTTTTGAGGTTAGAAAATTTTTCTCGCTTATTTTACAAAAAATCGCATTTTTCCTCACCTCAAGTTCTTTATTTTAGTCTAAAAAGGCAGAATATCCACTTTATTTTATAGAAAATTTGTTAATTTTGACAGCCCTAAAGTGAAACGGACCCGATCAGAGATCATAGCCGACTCGTAGAGACTCTGGTAGAGATGTTCTTTATCACTTGGCCCTGGGCTTATATTCCAGTGTACTCTTTCAAGCAACAGCCAATAAATTGAAATTGAAAGAAGAAAAAAAAATAATTGAAAATAACCTTGCATAAAGTTTTTAAAAAGACAAAAGTCAAGAGACCGTATGTTAATTTTTTTGAGCTTTTTGTATATTACCTGATTGTACCTGATATTACATCAGATTACAAACGGAAGTCAGACTGTTGTAGATTAATTATATTATTTATTCATTATTTACTTTTATTATGAGTTTCAATATTATTGAGAAATATAACGAAGAAGCCTGCGAGGCGGTAAGTCAAGCCGCACACTAGACACTAGATTTGTTTTTGACCTAGAAAAAAATGTTTTTTTGTATTTTTAGGAAAAGCAGATAGGGTATATCAAAAATCAAATAGCTAAAATAGAAAACAGTATAAAAATTAATAATCAATATAATTTAGATGCAGAAGTATCCAAGCTGTATACAGAAAATATAAAACTTAAACATCGATTATCTGTATTAAATCAGGTAAGGATGGACGATTGACTATTAAAAACCAAACCAAACCAAAACTAATTGAAAATGAGTTACGAATCTTAATTTCTCTATTTTTATTTTATATTTGTAGGCCATAAAGGCATGCTCGAAAACCAATAATAAAATTGAGAATATTGAAATGGAAGATAGTATTTTACAAATAATAACAAAATTATTTGGAAATGCTGTTAAGTTGGCTTGTCCAGAAATTACAGATTTACCAATAATTGATATTTCATTATCAGGAAATAAGCCGAATTTTGGTGATTATCAATGTAACTCAGCAATGGCATTGGCAAATCTATACAAACAGTTAGGTATGTTATTGTTTCCCTTTTTTTAATTTATATTTTTAAGTTTAACATTTTCAATTCATATATAATAAATTTATTTTTTAGGAAAAAAAGTTGCTCCTAGAGTTATTGCACAACAGATTGTTGAACATATCCAACCTCATCCTTTGGTTAACAAACTTGATATAGCCGGACCTGGTTTTATAAATATTTTTTTAAATAAGGATTATGTTCAAAAATACCTTTCCGCAATATTTGAATCTGGGGAAGTTAAACCTCCTGTAGTAAAAAAATTAAAGGTTTTAGTGGATTTTTCATCTCCCAACATTGCAAAAGAGATGCACGTTGGACACTTAAGATCCACAATTATTGGTGATAGTATTTCTCGTCTATTGGAATACTTGGGTAAGTTTGTTACCGTTCAAATTTTTTTAAATATATTGTACCACACGATTAAAAAAGGCGTCTCATAGATGGCTGAGGAATGATAACCTATAAATGTGAATGTATCCTATAAAACATGAATCTGTTGTCTGAAAATCTATATACAGGGTGGCCCATTAGTGGGAGGATGCCCAATATCGTCTTTGTTGACAAAGATATGAAAAAAAAGTTTATAGAGATGCACAGTATATAATGGTGCATATCCTAAAAACATTTTGTTGTATATAGGGTGTCCACAAAGGTATGAAAGTTTTAAGTTTTTTTTAAGTTTCATCACCCATTTTTCTGTACATAATTGTATTCAGCATAAAATTCTGCATATAGTACACTATTTTATTTGAAGTATTATGCAGTATTGCCATTCTATTTCTGATTTATTATAACTTTATTACTTTTTTTCTAATGGTTAAGAACACTATATCCAAAAAGTGGTTAAAAACTGGAGTGACAATAACGTTATTAATATTTGGCTATATATTCCTAAACAAGAATAACAGAATAAATCTGCGAAGGAAAATTTACATTATTCTATACAGGGTATTTTTTAGGGCGTCGACAAAATCGCAATAAAATGCTGTATCTCTATTTTTTTAAATACTACACCCTGTATATTATTTTTCGTTTAGATGCAGAATTAAAAAAATAATATTTTTTGGATTTAGGTAATCTGTTCCTAAATTTTTAGAGGTTTTACAGATATTAGATGTATTATGGTATGTATACATTGGTGCGCGGAGCGTTGGCCGCGTACCAACTACGCGTACGAAAACACGTACCAATAGAGGCGAAACGGTGCGCGCGTGCCGCGCGTTCGCGGCGCGCCAATGTATATGTACCATTATATTTAGTACATATGGTGTTTCAATGGTAAAATCTCAGACAAAATCATTAGGTTGCTTTGATAAAAATTTACTGTTCAAAGAGCCATATGTACTACAATATCGCGAATATCTGCGGAGCCGTTAATACTTTAAGAACACTTTAAATACAAAAAATGTTCATTTTAAAATTCTACATCTAAAAGAAAAATAATATACAGGGTGTTTGTTGTATTTAAATAAAACCTGTATACAACAAAAACATTTTTTTGCCTCTTTATAAACCATACATCTGTATAAAACTGTTTTTAAATGTTCTACAATGACGACAATATTGGACTTCCTCACACTAATGGACCACCCTGTGTGTAATTTGCAGTTTATAATTATTTATTATTGATATGCATATTTTTAGGCCACGACGTTATGCGCATTAATCACGTTGGCGATTGGGGAACGCAGTTTGGCATGTTGATAGTGCATTTACAGGAGAAATTTCCTGATTATTTAATCAAGTCACCACCTTTAAGCGATCTACAAAATTTTTATAAGGAAGCTAAAAAACGTTTTGATGAAGATGAAGAGTTCAAAAAGAGAGCTTATGCCAGCGTGGTGAAATTGCAATCATTCGAACCTGAACATACAAAGGCTTGGAATCTTATTTGTGATGTATCGCGCAAAGGTATGTTTTTAAGGGCCCTAGGAAACTGTTTATATTTTAATTATTCACTAGCTGTTCAACACAATACAATTACAATTAGTATTAAGTTTTGACATGAAACTTCTTTACGCGCGATGAGAGTAAAAATCCAAGGCCGTGACAAACCACGGCCTTGACACGGCATGACTTTGACCATGCCTTGACGCATGAGCTAGCGAGAAAAAAGTGGTAAGATGGTGGTAAGGATGGCACAAACACCAAAAAACATTTGATTTAAACCTAAGAAAAGCATTATAATACTGTTACCTGGGTACCAATATCCTCTGGCTGTGTGCTAGGGAGTAAATTTTCATGCATATTTTCATCATAGGTTTGTAGCTGCTGAATAACGGTCTAGGTAACACATTTAGCTCATTTGCTAGCTCAGAATTAGAATTATTAGAGTTAAGCAACTCGCATTTTCATTGGAGGACATTGTCATATTTATTTCAAATCCATAATGAATGAGAATATTCCTATAATTTAATAAAATTACTGTAAACCACTATAATTAGTACGAAGTTAGGTTAGTAGTAGTATGTTGGTTTAATGGCCACAGCTGCCAGGGTTATCCGGCTTACGAAGTTAGGTTTAAATTTTTTTCTCTTAAATAAATTTAAGGGTTAACAATTAGGCATTTCAATAAAAGTGTGTATTTTGGGTGGTATTCCACAAAATTTGCAGGCTATTGAGGAAACAGAAAATGTACAGATTACAAAAATATATTGAGAATAACATTTATATTAAAATTTATATTAAAACAGCATTATGTGTCACTGTTTTAAACATGCCCTTCAAATCCTCCAATTTAATAGCTGTTAGTAAGAAGTGTCACTTCAAATATGCGCACATAGTGCACACACAATTTTTCTTCAACACATGAATGTGTATTTTGTAAAGTTTTTGTATCTCTGCTAAAGATGTTTTTGTGGCAAATATTCAACAGAAACTGTTTTATCATAATTTAATAAAAAAAGGATTAATTTAAATTTAAATAAAAATTTCTCAAATTTATCATTTCAGTCAAATGACTATCTAGTCAAAATGTTTATTGTTTGTCAATGATGAAAACACCCAGACACAAATTTTTATCCAAATATCGATGTTAGTTCAGAAATGATTCGGTAAAATGTTTTTATTTTAGAACTCCAAAAAATTTACGATCGTCTCGACATAAAATTGATCGAACGTGGCGAATCGTTCTATCAGACCCGAATGGAGCAAATTGTAAAGGAATTAAAAACTGCTGGATTTTTAGAAAATGACGACGGTAGAGAAATTATGTGGGGTAAGATAATATTGTCAGATTTTTTAGAAGTGAGGCATTATGCTGTGGGGCCTTTTCATTATGTTTAATACTTTATTACTCGTATTTTTATTTTTTTCACTTTATTTTTTTTTGTTTTGTTAATTTACATTTGAATTATAAGAAATGGCATTTTTAAGGCGGTGGCACTGTTCCACTTACGATCGTAAAATCAGACGGTGGTTATACGTATGATACGTCAGATATGGCCGCACTGAAACAACGAATTGAGGAAGAAAAAGTCGATTGGGTGATATATGTCACTGATGCGGGGCAGGCCACTCATTTTCAGACAATTTTCGCTTGTTCCGAAAAAGTTGGCATTCTAAAAAAAGACAAACATCGGTAAGAATTTTGGCAATTGTTTTATTTTCTAATCAAATAGGGAAGTTATTAATAAAGCAAATTTTTTATAACAAAATTGAGATTTTGTTATAAACTAGATAAGTATTTAACTGACAAAACTAGAAACAGCTATTATTAGGTTAAAAAATAAAAAAAATACTTATGTGAGGTAATAACAATATATATTGAAAAAAACGGCGTCAAAGACCGCTGGAGAGCGACAATCGACGATAATTTTGGCGTGGTCTCGCCCTAGACGTCATTTGCTTGGCCCGTACTCTTCTTTATTTTTTAATGGCGCTTACTGCCAGTTGGCCTTAAGAAGGTTGTAATTTATTTTTATATTAAGAAAAAATTATATTTAAATAGTTTAGTTTAGGATTCTAGAAACGTTCAGTTCTTTTTTAATCTTTCTATAGTCAATTTTTGACAAGTTTTATGTCACTTTTTAGTAAATGGCATCGATAAAAGACTTATAATATTAAATAGATAGGCAACTTATAATACATTACAATTTTATTATGCAAGGGCGTTCCTGGTGGTCGGAGGAAAAAATACTATCGAAACAGAGGGGTGTGGGGAAGAGGGATTATTTTAGTTAATTTAAAATATATTTAGACATGTAAGAACACTTTGTGTGCTTTTAATTAGGTCGAACATATTATAAACGATAAATCAGCTTAATTAAAAGCATACAAAGTGTTCTTTATATGTCGAATACTAATTAAAAAAACATTGCGAGAGAAAAAAAAAGACTAAAAAGTAATATAAACTAGTATATATTAAGTCGTTACAGTTATAATTTAATCTTTGGCGGTTTTCCGCAAATAGCAGGCAATTTTACATAATTTGCATCCTTTTGAAGTAAATTGGAAACAGCTATATCGTATTAGCGTAGGCAAAATTTCCAGTTTGTTTCCGTTTGAGACCGGAAATAATAAAAACAAATTAAATCAGTTTTAATAATCTGCTGATCATGCTAATATAACGCAACGCCCGTTTTTAATTCCTTACATATCGTAAAAAAATTAAATACCGTCTAGCAAGGAGCATTTATTTGAAGTACTAATTAAAAAAAAATTATAACTATAGGCAAATATGTTTAATTTACTTACCATTGTATCCTTCGGAAACCTGGTGTACAATAATTAAACTCCATGATAAAAAATAACTAAGAGTCTATACAAAACACAAATTGTCCCACCATTTTTACAAAACATTTTCTGAAACAGAATACCGGAAAAATCTGAAGTTAGGAATTTAATTGTACAATAATTATTCGAACATAAACTGTAAAATCACGACAAAAGCGTCTCGTGTCAATTAAAAATCAAATTATTGACAGATATTGACATTTTCATTGTTGATATTGGCAGTTTTGGAATTTTGAGCATTCTGGTGGTTGGGGGAAGTTTTTTTTTAAATGAACTGTTGTTTCCATTTAAGTTTCCCAGTCATGGTTAATGGCGTCTATACAGAGCTTGAAAATCATCATCTACCAAGTTTACACGAATGCTTAATTCGCATTAGTCAATAATGCGATTTAGTGAAAATACGATTTGGGTCGTGTTTACATGACGGGTTAAAAAAGGGATTTTTACGTTGACGTTAAACAGCTGTTTCCTATTGCCAACCAAGGAAAATTCAAAACATAATATTGCTTTTGCTTAAGCAGCTGATATTGATTTTTCGCATTTTTAACAAGTAATTCTAAACTTTTAAACCTTAAAAATGGATAATCTAAATATTGTTAGTGCCTTTATGGTTCTGTTAAACCAATTACTATATGAAAGAAGAAATCAGGTGATATCTAGAATCTTAGGAAGAAGAAGGCAAACTCTAAAAAGAATGAGAAGTTTAATATTAGATTCTTATTTACTACATTATCAGATTGTAATGGAAATATCGTAATGGAGGGCCTAATTGGACCTAATTAAATATAACCGACTGAAAACTTTTCCGGCAAAACAAAAATAAACACAAAAAATAACCTCAATATTCGTTCAGTCAGCTGTCGGTTTAATTTTTTTTAGTTGGTAGCGCTGCGAGATAATGCGCATTTGTGTTTACACGAAACTTTAATTCGAATTTAAGCGAGATAATCCACATATTTAATGCGTTCTGAGTTAATGCGAATTAGGATTTTTAAAACGGTTTACAAATGTTAACACAGGCGTTTTATTTAAATTCGCATTCGGCTAATGCGCGTTAGGGTGCTCGTGTAAACTTGGTAATCGATTGTCATTTCTCAGCCGTCTTTGATGCTGTTTTTTCGGTCCTATGATATTCTACTGACACAGCAAGAAACAGCTATTGGTTAAAAACTTTAAATTACGCTTTAAGTATAAAATTTGACAAATATAACATATATGTAATTTTTCATCTTTTCCTTTTTGTAGTTTTGAATGAAAATGAATCACTTATAATTTTAGTGTGGACCATGTCGGATTCGGTGTTGTTCTTGGAGAAGATAAGAAGAAATTTAAAACGCGCTCGGGCGAAACTGTGCGATTGCTCGACCTCTTGGACGAAGGTTTGAACCGTTCCTTAAGTAAACTTAAGGAAAAAGAACGGGAAAAAGTACTGACCGAGGAAGAATTGAAAACGGCTCAAGAATCCATAGCCTATGGGTGTATTAAATACGCCGACCTCTCCCATAACCGCAATCACGAATACGTGTTCTCTTTCGATAAAATGTTGGAGGATCGCGGCAACACAGCCGTCTACTTATTGTACGCCTACACCCGCATCAAGTCGATAGCGCGCAACGCAAACTTTACTTTGGAAAAAATCAAGCAGGTCTCGCAAACTCACGCCATTTCTCTCGATCACGAAAAAGAGTGGAAATTGGGAAAGGCACTGGCACGTTTTCCCGACGTTTTGCTCAAAATAGCGGACGATCTTTTCATGCATCACCTGTGCGAATTCGTATACGAAATTGCTACGACTTTTACGGAGTTTTACGATCAGTGTTATTGCATAGAGCGCAACTCGAGCGGAGAGATTGTCAAAATTAACGTTAGTAGAATATTGCTTGCCGAAGCGACTGCTATGATTTTAGAAAGGTGTTTTTATATTCTCGGACTTAAGCCTGTTTCGAAAATGTGAGAATAATAAATATACCTGTATATAACTTGTTTTTTATTTCCTACCTATACCTTAACCAGTTATTCTCGGCTAAAAATCAGGTCGAGATCTCGGTCTCGTTCTCGGCACAAAAAGGCCGAGACTGCTCACGATCGTCAAATTAGCTTAATTTTGAGCGCATCGCTCCACCTATCGATGCGTGGATGAATGGAATACTCGTCCGAAGTCGAAAAGAAAGTATGGATCATATCTGATTCATATGAACTAACACAGGCGGATTGAGGCGTATTTTTCTATTGTCCACTCCGCTCCGCTCTACGTGTGCCGCTATGTTGGGCCACGGCCTTAGGCGGACAATAAAAAAATCCGCCTGTATGTGGGACCACTTCCATTTACTTCAATGTATTTAAACGCTTCGCGGTCCTCTCCGCTTCGCTAGGTCGTCGTACGCCTCATGTAGGGCCACGCACTAGACCCAGCCGATGTGCCAGAGGGGACTCCCTCTAGCACCTGACTAGGAGCTTTTCCACCAATGACAAGGTCTCGCATCTAGCGGCAGTGCTTGGAATCCTTGGAATCACTGGCCGTGATCATCTAGTGGTTAGAACCACAGAATGTTAAGGTGCGTTCACACCAGCTGCGCCGATCCGCGCCGCGCAACGCAAAATCATTTTTTTAACATATACTTTTGTGCGCGCTAAAAAAATACACTTCAAAAGTACTCGCCGCTGCTGCGAGCAGAACCTCTTTCTCGCCAAAACGATTCATGATTACGAAAACTATAATGCCCGGACTCCATTAGCCAACACGCTACGCCACGCGATGCCATGCTACCCACGTCATGAACATCAGTGCTTATGTTTTTCCATTTAATTACATGTATTGCGTACACACTAGGCAACACGCCACGCCATCCGACGATATAACACGCTATGACACGTGTGATGGTCGATTCGTCGGTTGCAGATCTCACCGATGTGTGTTACGGCCGTTACGACGTGTTGTTCCCCGCTTGCTTCTCTAGTCCCCTTGTTCCAATACATTTTCTAAATCAAGTGTCTTTTTTTTAATTTTACATTCCACATTATGTAAATATTTAAATTGTTCTCTGTCCATACAAAAGTACATACAGTACCGATTAGGATCTGCCTCGAGTTCTTTAACTAGCGTATGAAAGGCACCATATTTATTGCGTTTTTTGTTTATTTTGTGTACCCAAAATCTTTTTTTTTTTGCACTTTCTAATACAATAGCAGCACCTGTACACTTCACTAAAAATTCTTCGTCACTGGAAGAACTGCTTGAATCGAACATTGTTATAACTTTTCTAACAGTTATTTTCGAATGCAATAGAAAACAAAAATGTTTTTTGAGTGTTTAATCAGTAAGAATACAAATTATATTATTACTTTTAAAATTTAATAATCAAAAATTAAGGAAAGAAGTTTAATGCAGATTGTGAAATTAAGGTATTATGATTATAATCTAATATCGGTATGGCTATACTTCAAGTATTTTCGTAGCCCTACTGACAACTTTTTTAACTCTAATAAAAATATCAGGCGTGTTAACACGTGTTACCTAATGTGTACACCCATTCCCACGTCGCAACACGTGGGATAGCGTGGCATCGCGTTGCATCACGTCGGGTGTTGGCTAATGGGGTCCCGGCTTAATGTGGACGGCTCCCGATTTTTTAGCATGTGATATGTAGCTTGTTAAATAGCATTGTTATATAACATGTTACTAAATGTGGATCTTCCTTTATATAGCAAGTGTGGACCGTTCTTAATATAAAAGATGTTGCCATGTCTAACATTTAATCACTAAATCATAAATTCTCCTACATGTGCTTATTTATTTTTCCCTGTATAGTTCTGAGAACAAGATTTGACGTTCGTTTGACGCACCGTTATAACAAATGCATCGTCATATTATTTTTTTCTTTTTTTTATACAATCTTTAGTGTACTAAATTAACAATTATATACGAAAATGTCTTATGGTACCATAACCAGTTGTAAGGTAACCGAAGTAGATTTTGGCAGTTCCAGTAAGTACTACTACGCTTAATAATTCTATACCGGTTACCAGTCGTACCTATATGCGCACTTATCAGTACTAACAATTTTCAGGTTTCAGTTATATCGTAGAATTAAAGCGGAGCGAAAAAATATGTTTCGGATCGGCCCTAGAGAGAAGTACCGATCCGATTGGCAAGCACTTGTCCCCGTTTCAAAAGAGAACCACCCGGGAGATGTTCAAAACAGGTCCGGGCTCGTACAATATGGAAATGTATACGTCGGCATTGTATCCTATACTTGGAAAGGTAAACGGAGCTAACAACACTCGGTGCGGCGCCGGCGGCACGAAAAACCTTTAAATTTTCATGTATTTTAAAGTTTAATATATCTTGTTCTAGAGGGTCGGTTTTGATGATTTTTTACGCAATTTGTAGCTAGATTATTTGACTTTTTAGTATCTCTTTCTAAATTAAAAATGAAAGTTTCCATCTGTCGATTATACGAGGGAAAACAAAATGTTGATATTTTTGTTAAAGTTTGGAACACCCTGTGGAATATGTTGAAAAAGCAAGGAATGTGGAGATAATTTTATCAACTATTATAGGTACATCATTTCTCGATAGTTTGGGTTTTTGGTTCATCTCAATAGCTTAATTTTTGTTGGAGATATTCGCTTTTGTAGAGGACACTTAGTTGTCGACACTACTTTTTCGTAATTTTTACATTAAAACCATAACCTTTGTTTTTGGTCCTAGTCAACAGACGCAGACGTAATATGTTGTAGTCCCGAAGTAGGCCTTCTTGATATAAGATTTTGTTTAATCTTCTTCTGAAAAAAAGTGTCTTCTTCAAAAGCGAATATCTCCAACAAAATTAAAACTATTGAGATAAACCAAAAAATAAACTATCGAGAAAAGATGCACTTAGACGATAAAATTATTTTTAAATTCCTCTTAATCTCTTCGTCTTAACATAATCCACGGGCTGTTTCAAACTTACACCAAAATATCAACATTTTGTTTTCCCTCGTATAATTGACAGATGGGAAATTTCTTTTTCAATTTAGAAAGTGATACTAAAAAGTCAAATAAATTAGCTACAAATTGCTTAAAAAATCATCAAAATCGGCACACTAGAACAAAATATATTAAACTTTGGTGATGGGTTCAAATAGAAAAATAAAAGAGCATAAATGGTAAACTTTCAAACGTTTTTGCATTTAAGGTGAGAAGTAAGAAAGGTGTAGGTCCACTGGCAAGTTCCGACAAACGCTTTAAAGATTCCGTAGCTGTAAAAATCCCGTCGCCCAACAAATACAACGTGTCCCAAAAAATAGAAGTGAAACCTTCCACGGCACCTTTTGGAATAAAGGCTAAAATAGTTCGAACCTCTACTAATGACATTCCAGGGTAAGACTTCTTCGTGTATTGCTTTTTTCTATACAATACAATCTTATTTTAATAGATTTATATCCGATTATTTTTTTTCCTTTTCATTTAAAGTTTAATATATCTTGTTCTAGAGGGTCGGTTTTGATGATTTTTTACGCAATTTGTAGCTAGATTATTTGACTTTTTTTTTTATTTTTAAAATAATAAGATTTATTATATCAACATGGGTCCGATTCTGCTTTGTTTCGTAGCTACAGAGTGTTAAAAGTTTTAATATTTTTTCGATTTATTATAATTTTCTTCCAAGTACTTTTAGCGTTTCGAATGAAATTTGAGGGTAAAAGTTACTATAAATGCGATATTTTAAAGATAAAGAAGTGTCGACATATTCACCAGGGACGTGCATATGGTTATCACTGAATATTTTTCTAAAAAAGCTTGTACGCCACTGACTTTTTTTTTTCTTGTTAGCGAAATAGTGTAAGCAGTTTAATGCTGATTAAAAGTTGTCTCTCGAAATTTTTGTCGGTTTCGGCTTCCTTGATGAGATAAACACAGTTTTATTAATTTGCCGTGATCCAAATCTAATAGCAACCTTTAAAAAAATAATATCATTAACTTGCGAAAGTTTTAAATAAGTACTCATTGATTTCTCATAAAAAAAAATATGAAAAAGTTCCTATAAACATGGGTGTATGGAAATGCAGAGTTTTAGATGTTAAACTTTTTAAAATTAGTTTTTTTTTGTAATTATATCTTAAATACGCTAAAGTTACGTATTGCAGGCCGCTATCTTGTAATGCGATTTAATATCTTACCGCTACTTTACTACAAGTCGTATTTATATACTCTGCGCTGTACTCGTCGTTTTGTGGAAATACCCAAGCTCACCTGATGATGGGGTAGGCCCCGAAACCGGTAGTGAGAGCAGGTTGATCCACATTATGTCGAACACAGCGTGGTATTAATTTCTCTAGATTAGCAGTTCAAGGCAAGAAACTCTTATATAATTTTATTATAAGAATTTTGAACGAGCTGATTTTAAGTAATCTAAGAAAATTGCATTTATTTTTTAAATTGAAACTGAAACTTAAAGCAAAATCGGGCAAATGCCAACATACCTTAAGCTGTCAATCCTATGATTTCGAACACGGTTTGAATTACAAAAATGCATTTCAGGCACATTAACCGTATGTAATATAGTGTGGTATCGTAGAGATCACAACAAATTGTATTATTTAATATTAAACACATTTCACTGACAATTTAAGGTATGCTGACAGTTGCCTGGCTTTGCGTTGTTACCTGCTCAGTTTTAATTCCAAAACATTCTTACATTAGTAAGACGCGGCTTGTCCAAAATTGTTCAAATTTGGTGTGTTCAACATACGTAATCCTTTAAAAAAATCTTGCACTCCTGCCGTTTTCGATATAGAGTGCATTTTAAAATGAAATGTTTCCGAATCATTTTAAGGGCCTCACCCATTTAAAATTTATCTTGTTTCCTATTTTATATAGTAAAACATATTTTAATAATAACGGAAAACTTTTAAAAGTTATTTTTGAAAAATACGATGCCATCTTGAATTTTAAATAGAAACCCCCTCATGTTTGAGATTCGCCCTGCACAAATTATATTAATTTCAAAATATAAGTTTAGTATACCTTGTACTTGTCGTTTTCTATATACAAGGGGTTGAATATCAAGACATCCTGTATTTTATGTATTTGAATATGAATGCCATTTACTTATTACAACTAAATGGCATTCCTATCCAAATGCATGAAATTTACATAAATTGGGCTACATATCTTATGATAAATAACTAGCAGTTTAAAACTGTTCGGCATTTTTTTACTATCTCAAAATAGGAAACAAGATTTTAAATTGAGTAAGACGCTTAAATAATTTCGAAGATTTCATTCTAAATCCACTGTATATCGAAAACGGTAAGAGCAAAGTATACTAAACTATATTTTTAAAATTAGCTGAAATATGCCTACCGGAGGATGCTAAAATATGTGGGGGTTTCTATTTAAATAAAATAAAAGATGGCGTCGTAACTATCAAAATTGACGTTTCAAAACATTTTCAGCTAGAGAATTGGCATCCTCGCGAAAAATTACATTCTGTCTTAAAATAGAAAACAGATAGATTTTAAATTGAGTGAGAACTGGAAGAACTCGTATTAATCAACGTTCGCAAGTTATATGAATTTACTAGGAATAAAACTTAAAATAAACTCGCATAAATAAATTGGCTATAAAAAACATATTGAATATTATCGTGTAATCTAAAAAAGAAGCGGCCTTAGTTGGCTTAAAATGACGATCATGACATTTCTCTTATAATTATACATATAAAATAACAAAGCGATCTTGATTTCATCTCTTCCTCTGATGCATTTTTCTTCGATCTATTCTAATGTATTAATAAATAATATTTAACAGATTGACGCAAAATTAAACATAAATAAATAGTTGAAAATAAAATAACTTTTTTAACACCTAAACGAAATAATAATCAAAATATATTCATCGTACTGGAGTGACTCAAAACAGTAGTGATTTGGCTGTCGGTGGATCTTAAAGGTAGGTTAATATCCTAGCTTTGGTTTCACTGTTTTTATTTTTCCCGGTACGTTGTTTGATGTCGAAATTACAGTAGGCCACCGTTGTACGGCATTTATCTACCAGATTAAGTTCATACCGCCGCACAGTGTAACGAAATCGGGAAATGTATATTAGCCCATAAAAACAAAAAAATTTAATTCATCAAGTTTTTTATATAGATGGATAAAGGACATCCTAGAGCCCCACCATGTGAGATATTTCTTGAGTTGACCTCTTAGTCGGGGAGTTATGGCGGGTTAAAGTTATGGTTTTCTTTAATTTACCAAATTTGTACAAAAAATTTCATACAATGAAATTTACTATTTTCAGAAGTTTCCTTGTGTTGTTTAATTCCAATATTTTTTTTTCCGTAAAGAGAGGTCTTTTACCAACAACAAACCTGAACAAAATGTCCCAATTTTTTTCAAGTCCAGTTTCTACATGTTTATTATGACTTTCAAAAACACGCTTACATTCGCGCAAGGTTATATATACAAAATATCATAGAGTGAACCTTCTAGTATACTGTTACATATAAATTTCATCCACCTAGATCCGAACCTGAAGAAAAAAATAAATTTCTTTGGCAATAATTACGTTTTCCATTGATTCGACCGTAGTTTTTATCCGTAATATTTTGTGCTATAATTTCTTTATTGAAAAAACTATACACTTGTTATGAACATACTGAATGCTATTTTAGGGGCGAGGAACCATCCTTACATTGGGGTGGGGGACAGTTTACAACAATTCAGAATATCTCAACATTGGAGAAAAATTACTCAAGAGAATATTTTTTCAAACCGGCAAAATTTTCTTCGATGTATTTAACACTCCACCCTCAATGCTGCATCATTTTTGGTGCCAAACTATTGAAGATATATTGCACAACTTATTGATATATTCAGATCCTCTACTTTCACATCTGCGACCAAAGCACTCTAAAAATAAAAAAAGTAGACTTGTTTCCGGAAGCGAAAGAGCTGTTGTATATGGATGGAGAAGAAATTGAAAATGATTTTTAAGCATGTTTTATGTAAGTGCCTTACATATTATGTTATTTTGGATAATATACACCCCACATAAATTATCGCATCACTTATTAATTTGGAAAACTGCAAAGTATTCTTAAATTCTCTTGGTTAACAATAATCTCAAAAGTTATTTGCATTAATAGCAACTTGTTAAGAAATGGAAAGTATATTATAACTCAGGCAGACCTTAGATTTTAAGTTTTTCACATGAAAATGTTTGATGCGTTTCAAGAATAAATACTACGAAAAATATAAGTGTTGCGAAATTTTTTGTGAGGTGTGTATTATGGTTTCCTTTGTTGAATACATTTTTTTCGCATTATCATATTATTTAATACTGTTAAATGATATTTGCCACTTGTGTCGTTCTCTTTGAGTTTTGCAGTCTTATCTAATTTATCCCTGATTATTTGAATATTTAGGAACGTTGATTGAGTTTTGACATATTAGCGGGAGATAAATGATTGTTCGACAGTAATTTGATAACGTTTTTGGTCCATAAGAGCTATAAACTCTTCGTAAATAAAAAAATATACCTGTAAAGTCCTTTATAAAACTTCGTATATTTTTTGACCTTCCATTACGCCTTTTTTACTCTTTTTCGCCCTGTAGCAAAAATTCCTAGTCGTATTATTTAATTTCTGTCAAAAATGTCAGCAAAAAAATAGTGATAACTGAAGAAAAATGCCAATGTCCCACTATTTTAGTTTTCGTTACACTGTGCACCGTCAACGACAAAGTAATTCATTTGCCCCCTGGCATTTACAGATATATAGAAATATCATACCGCTGAACAACTGTATTTTTGTGTACACTAACGATACCGCCGGTGGTTATTTAGCCAGTGTGTTATTTAATTGATTATATACATAAAAATCATAACATATTAATCTATGATATACATTTTTTACAAAATAAAATTGAAACAAAAATACATTTATTTGCATCTGAAAATAATAAAATAAAAATGAAATATAATATTTAACTAGAATTATCAAAACAAAAATATATTTTAATTGCTGATTTTTAAGCTTTTTAGTATATCACTTTTAATGAGCTTTTGGGTAAGCTTTATTAACGATAACGATATTGCGCCAACTAAAATTTAATTTTCTGTTTATATAGGTTAAATAAAATAAATAAAAACAAGGTTTATTCATTTTCATGTGTATGCATCACTGTCGAT